GAGTTTTCATAAAATCTTCAAAAGAAAAAATATTACAGAGGAGGTTTTTTGAATTAAGAGGAACAACACTTAAGTCACATAACCTATACACCTTTAGCATTACTTCGTTGAAGCCAATAAGAGAAGAGCTGCCAATATCATTACCTTAACCACTGCTGTCAAAAAAGCAGTCTTCCCGTTGCTTGCACATAAAGTAATTGAACTAGTAAACCAAAAACGCTGACGTTTCTGAAGTTACCACCATTCACTCTTACAACGTACTGACCACCTTTAAAACTAAACAAATAATTAAATTTATTCTTTCTTTCATTTTGAAAACAACACGTCAAAAACATTTAATCAAAAAGAGCTAATTTTCAACACAATTAAGTCATGTTCAAAACGTTCAACGCTTAAGAGCTGCACAGGTTTCAAGATCCTTTTCTTTCCTCTCCTACATTTGACAATATATAACTTTGCAGCACTCAGTCAGAAATAACATTTGTTTTACCAAAGTTCTATAAGAAGAATTCGATTATTAAACAACATCAACAAAAACTCAACGTAAGAATCAGTAAACAAAGAACAAAACAATAACCTTTTTGCCCTTTCTCAATTACCAATCCACAGAAAAGAAAAATACCTTAGTTCATATTCAAGCAGCAATATACATTTGACATTTCAACAATACACGTAAAATTTATATTTCAAAAAAAAAAAAAATTTTTTTTAGCAAGAAGATAAATGCCAAACCAACTTCAGTGTTCTATTACTGGCCACCTCCAAATATTGTACTGGAAGAATGTTTTAAAAAAATGAATAAAAAGAAAAAAAAAAGAAAAAAAGCACCATTAAAATCTTGAAAAGTTATCATTCAACTCCACAAAGTAAACAGACTTCAAAATAAATCGATGAAATAATCAAATCTAACCTTTCTGAACTGACTTTTCTTCTTTACAAATCAGCACAATTGGTCTCCTCCCTCAAAAAGAAAAGAAAACCGTAAAAGCAAAGAAAAAAAACACAATATTTTTTTTCTCAAGGTCCACAACCTTAGACGTCATTATTATCCTAAGATGTCACAGAAGTTTTGCCCTTCTCTCAGTTTGTTGTCATCTAACCTTTACTGCTCTTCCGTTATTTTTGTTTCCCACAGACTTCTACACTAATATGCCAAAGAAATAAAAAATAAACAAAAAGAAAAAATAAGAAATGAGACCAATCCAAAACGAAAACTGCTGTTTAAGCGAAACAGAAAAAAAAAAAATAATAGCTAAATCATAGCTGTAAAATAGCTGTACCACCAGACTCGACACAAATATCGGTTTCAATACGCTTGAATTATTATAGTTTTTTTCTCATTTTCAGTCATAAATTTAAAAAATTATCAAACTGAAAACATTTTTTTTTTT